ATTTATTTAGAACTATCATGTTTTTGTTGTTTCTGTTGTTGGAATTAGTGTTTGCTAAAACAAGTGTTTCTCTTTATAATCTAAATGACGTTTATATTGCTGTTACGTAATTCGGCTCAATAAAGTATATATATATATATATATGAGTTTGTCTAAGAAAGTGAATAACTAATATTATATTATTGTATAACAATTTTTAATGAGATTCATTTAATAAATTGCATAATTATTTATGTCATGTATATTTATCACATTGTGCTAAATAGTTGATTATATACATTTGAATTGAATTGAATTCTCAAATAATATACACATCAACACAATATTAATGAAATAATCATAATTAAACTATTGAATATTCAATTAGAAATATAAAACGTTTAAAACACGAAAATAGAAACAATTGAAGAATGACTTCTAAAGAAAAGAATTCAAATATACTTCAATTACATTATAATGATGATTATATTGAACAAACAATTCAATATCAACAATCTAATAGTCAATTAATTAATGTTGATCAATTATATGTTAATATTGTAGGTGCATGTAGTATTTGGCAATGGTTTACAGCAATATTAGTAATGTTTAGTAATCCATCTACTCCAACATTTCCTGTATTTGCTAATTCAATACCACAACAACGTTGTCGTCTATCTAATAATATAGAAAATATAATACATTTAAAGAATTTATCATTAGAACAAGTTGGTATTATAATTGGTCCATGGAAAAATAAAACTGATACAAATTATACACAAATGAATGGATGTTATCAATATAAATTGAATTGGACAGAAAATTTATTTGAAGAAGTAATTCATACTTATGATAAAGGATCATTTCAATCAAAATTTATTCATTATCAAATAATTCCATGTGAAAATGGATATGTATATGAATTAAATGAATTACAATATCCTGGAAGTGTTGTAATTGAATTTGATACAGTTTGTCAACATAATTGGCTTGTACCATTAGGTTCATCAATTTATTTTGTTGGAATGATGATTGGATTTATATTTGGTGGTTGGGCTGGTGATCATTTTGGTCGAAAAAATTCATCAATAATTTTAGCAATAATTGAGTTTATATTTAGTATTTGTACATCATTGTCACCTAATTACATTGTTTATATATTGTCTAGAGCAATTGTTGGTATAGCAAATATAGGCAAAGTTACAGTATTAAATGTGTTAGTAATGGAGATGACTATAGCTAAATATCGTTCATATATTGGTGCTGTAATGGCATTGGGATACAATTTTCTATTGAGAGCATTAATATCATTAGAAGCATATTTCATACCGAATTGGAGATGGTTAAATTTGTCCGTAATGGCACCTAATTTATTGTGTATTTTATATTTTTGGTGTTTAGTTGAATCACCAAGATGGTTATTATCTAAAGGTCGACGTATTGATGCACTAAAATCATTAAAATTTGCCTATAGAGCTAATCATTTTCATATGAGAAAAAGCATGAAATCCACATATATACTTGATGGAATGATTCAACAAGAAGAAGAACTACAAAAAAATAAACAAGAATATGAATGTACTCCACAAAGCCATTCAGTTATAACCAATATTCAAAAAACAAATCAAAATAATCAAATTTATCCGAATTACAATGAAAGATTTATTATGAAATTTTTAAAGTCACTTTTTCTACCATTTTCTACTAGACAATTAGCTAAAACTACTATTCTTGGAGTAATTTTATTCAGTGGTGAAGTAATGACATTCTTTGGTTTACTACTTTATGCTCGTGCTGTACGTGGAAGTGTTTATTTAGTTAGCTTTATCAATGCATGCACTAGTATACCGGCTTTGTTTTTATCAACAATATTATATCGTGTTATACGTCATCGTAAGCCTCCATTATTTTTTGTTTATATTGTAGCGTCTATCATTTTATTATCATGTGGTTTATACACTTATATATTTAATCCAGAAGGTGATTTAATCCTTGCTATCGGATCAAACTTATCACTTATATTTCTTGCTGCTGGTTTATTTATGCTTTATATATATATACCTGAATTATATCCATCTGTTATACGATCTCAAGGATTTGGAACTGTGGCTGGATTAGGTCGAACTGGTAGTATAATCTGTACGTTTATTAATCAATTAGATATATCCATTGGACATGGTGTACCATTAATAATTTATTCAGTTGTAATTTTTATGCAATTAATTTTATTATATGTTATACCAGATACAAGTGGTGAGAATTTACCTGATATGATAGTAGAAAAATTGCAACCAAATATGGAAAATGTAAACAATATCAACGATTCAGTATTTCCAATATCGGAAACAGTGGAAATTACAAGAATCTGAGTGATTTTTATTTATTTATTAGACATATTTGTATTTCAGCTTATACTTTTACTCATCTCTATATTAATTCACTTTCATAATTGTATAATGTGATTAGTAGTATAGATGGAAATACAGAATATTAAGAAACATATAGATAACTGCAAATACATTCTTGAATATCTAGTTTTGTCCTTTTAATGAATAAACTTGTAAAACGAGAAGATAATCTGTTTTGTTATTTTCTGTTTGGTGATTGAACTTAAAAATAAAATAAAATAAAATAAATGAAATTTTCTTATAGGATGACTGTAGTAGATCAGAGTAGATAACATTCTGTACCTCAGTTAGTAACAACTATAGATAAATTTGTAAAGTATGAAATTATACTGAAACACCAGTTGCTTAAAGATGAGACATCATGTAGATATGATCAAATAACTTAAACCGGTTTACAGTAATAACTTAAGTTTTACAAATTCCAGTCTATAGGAGGCTAAGATCATCAAGTATAGGAAATATACTTCTTTTATCAGTATAACACTAAATCTATTGAATAAGACCTAATACTTCAAACGTTTAACTATAACGTAGGTTGACATATTTTTGTTAATGTTAAAAAAAGGTTGTTAACAAGTCAACTGATAATGAAACCTATTTCATATTTTTTTTCCTTGAAAGAAATATAGAAGTAAATTAATACGGAGCAAGAAGAGATACTTAACTGATAAATATGCGTTAGCTGCTAGACTACTGTTATTTAAGAAAATAAAAACTTTATCAATATAGCTTGATAAACTGAACTTTAATAATTAGACTGTAATAGATTTTTTTGTGTGGTCAATATCCATACGTGACTAATTTCAATGCATCTATAGAATAATGTCTGTAATGAGTATCATGATCCACGGTAATTCTATAGTTACATGATTTAAAAATTTCTTCACATTTCGTGTTAAACTTAAGCTTAGATTTGTCATTACATATATAAGATAGTACAAAAGGTCAAGTTAATTGGTAATATGTTGGAAAGTGAACTGATGTTGAACTTTTTAAAAATTTAGGTAGTAGGTAATATTGAATGATCTAATTCCAATAGTTCTTGAACCAAGTCTGTTTTAAAGATCTAAGGAACCCAGAATTATTTTTGTTGTTGTTGTTGTTGTTGATCTTTATCATAATTTAAAAATAAATTTGATAAGAATTTTTGATAAGATCTGTAAACGTAGCAAATGAGTTCACAAAATCATTAGGAAACTTTTTTAAAAAAAAAACTTGGAATCATATACCGAGTGCTTAGATTTACCTTATTACGATAAAAACTTGAAACCGTCCAGTCACACTTAGTTTTACTGTTATAGTCCATTTCTCCAAAACGACAAAAAGTGATTTATCAGATTTGTTCTTTTTCGTATATATCAATAAACTCAAAAAGGTGACAGGATTGTAAAATGGAAACACTTTTATATAATGGGAGTATAATGAATGTATATACCCTGATCCGTATTTATAAGATAATGCGTTACATAATATTGAGTAAAATTAGGAACTATGCTGTTCAGTCTGTAGTTCAATTATAATTAAGTAGAATGCCCTTAGTTGATAGACAAAGTGAAACTAACAAACTTTAAATGTTCACCTTTCCCTTACTTGCTTACTGTTGGTTTCTAAGGTGATTACCACAAAATCGATCTCTCATATCTTAATTTTTATTTTCCAGTAAATGATATTTGGGACCTTAATTGTTTGGTCTCTGTTGATATATGTGCTTCCTGAGTGGATGCCTTATTACTATCTTTTAATTACAAGATCTCACTATATTTGGGTTGTTACCTGGAATGGAATCCAGGGACAATGTTTCTCCCTATTCAGGACGGTGGCCTCTCCGACAGCAGAGAGCAATAGTCAAGATGTAGGTCGACCCCAGGAAAGCACGCTGTTAAATAGAGGAGGGGTGTTGGGGACGATAGATCCCCAAAACTCAAATTTTGTAATTTTATCTTATTGATTAACTTATCGAATAAATGTTTAAATATTTGAATGGTAGTTAATTGATGAACTTATTGATTAAATGTCTAAATAGTTGAATGGCAGTCAGTTGATGAACTTATCGATTAAATGTTTAAATAACAGTCAATTGACGAACTTATCGATTAAATGTTTAAATATTTGAATGGCAGTCGACTGACGAACTTACTGATTAATACTAAAAAATTTCCATGACCATATCGATTATAAATATTTGTATAAATACGCTCGATTTGTGTGCCTGGTTGACCTGGTATCTGTTGGTTGCCTGTAGAATACACTTCTATGTCTTACCAAGACTTCTTGGTTGAGTTAGCTGAGTCGAGGACAACGGACCAGAATAGACTATCGAGTATCTGAATCGTTGATCCTTCGTTCCGTACCGAATAAGTTGAATCAGTAGTAGCATTCAAGCTTAACGAACCTAACACTCTGTATTTCACTGCTATCTACATCGCACACTTATTGAAAACTTGGAATCAAAAAACGGTACCGAGATGTTCGCTTATGAAACGCACAACGCAATAGAAATCGATCAATTGAAGATTTTAGTCCCAACAAATTGGTGACTGTCTGCATTACATGTTCATTTTTCCTACAGTTCATAATAAAAGAAAATATGAGGACTTTATAATGAATTTTAATAAGATCTACATTTAGGCCTAATGCAATCAAATGCCACCATTCCATCAAACTGAAATGTGGTTGAAGTCTAGAGCTAAATATGTTTACCAGTTTGAATTTACTAATCGTAACGTTACATTCTCACCATAAAAATAAGGAATTGAGTCCATTAATTTAAAGAATCAAGAATAATAATAAAAATTGTACAAAGAAACGGTATTTGAGTATTTTCTGTCTCTCATTATTCCTTGAAGTACTTCTTAAACTTCCTTCACAAATCATCATTATGATTATATCAAATAATCGTTTCTATGCAATTACGTCATTAATTAATTATTCGTTATTTTTGTTATATAATACTCATTAGGAATCGTCATCTATTTTCTTAAACTAGTTTCATATTCTATTATGTTAATCTTGTAATAAATCACAATATTAATTATAAGTTATAATTATTTTATTTATTCCATTTCTAATATTTTGACTGAACTTTAATCAATCGTAGTCGACATTGGAATATTCTGTACAAATCACTTCGACACAGTCATTATATCATATATGTATACATGATTACCTACATTCCACATATTTATGTACCATTCTATTAAAAAATACTTATAGACTCAATTACTTCAGGAGAAAACCAAAAAAAAGAACAAAACATCTTGAAATTATAGAAATAAGAACTTAAAATTATTTATATAAATAAATACAGATCCATAAAAATGTGCATATATGAATTGATTTTATAATTATTTATCACGATAATGGATCTCACCATCATCATCATCATCATCATCAGGGAAGAAGCAACAAAAAAAGAGAAAGAAAGAACAAATAGAAGTAAGAGTGAAGGATAACAATATGAAGTGTCACAGATGAGACCAATTTGAAACGAACAAACGAACGAACAAAATTAAAGAATAACCAAGTAATGAAGGCCTATTTGGTGAGAGATAATGTATATTCTCTGTTTGTATTGTATTGTCATCCACTTCAAATATATATATATATATATATATATATATATATATATATATTCATCATAAAATGAAAACAAAATGTCAAATTTTAAAATAACATTTTCTTTCTATAAGTTAAACTGTTACGATTTTTATCTTTTTTTTTTCTGGGAAAAAAAATTTTATTTTACATATTTTTAATTATACAAAACTTGTTGGAAATTTTGTATAAATATTTTGTGGTGATATAAATTGTTCATCTGATTGAGTATGAATTAATTGAGCATAACCAAGTGGATCTACTGGACTAAATAATATCATTGTACCTTCAGTAGATTGAGATATATCATTATGAGATTCTTCTTTAGAATTATCATTATTATTAGTAGTAGTAGTATTAGTAATAGTAGTATTATTATTTTCTAAAGATGAACTTAAAAATTTAGATTTTTCATTTGTATTATTATTCATATTGACAGTAGTAGTACAACATTCTGGACTTGACGCAGGAGCACATGCAGAAGTGACAGTTTTAGAAATGTGATTTTGTCCAGTATTACAGGTTGAATGTGTATCTAACCATGAAACAGATAAACGATTCTTAGGTTGTTGTTGTTGTTGTTCGACATTATATTTAAGACAACATTTTGCATCAACTGTTTTTAATAGATCATTAGATGATTTTGCAGAATTTAATTTAGTTGAGAAATGTGTAGGTAGTATACTATCTTCATCTTCAATGTTATCATTATTTACTGGGATAGAACATAGTGGTAATGTTCCACTTCGTCTACGATATGCCATGACTTTCAACGTAAGATCATCCTGTTCAGTGGGTAATAATTCTGGGCTTCTTGATGATAGAGCACTTTTTAACTGTTCAACATTAAGAGAACAATAACAGGCTGGAGCTATTCAAAAGAAAAAAAAGAAGAGATATTCTTTATTTATATGACGGAAAAATACTGTGATGTAAAGTCAAAGTTTATCACTACTCCATAAGATCAAGTGTAATATGAAAATCTACTATTTGATAGTAATTTAGATGGGGTTGAATGGTTTGTGAACATTAACTGAATTACTTATTAACCAAGAGCCTTTCTCATTAGGAATAATTTTTCACTTTATAATTTACAGTATTTTCATATTTCAATTAGACAGTACATGAATAGATAAGACAGTAATATTTTCGATCAATATTATGTATTGTTTAATATATAGTAATGAATAAGGCTCTTGTTTTCTAAGTTCCATTTTATTATATTTTCAATGAAATTAAATTTATTATAATCTTATAGACCTAGGAAATTCATTCAGATGGTATTAAACATACATCAGCTTCCATACTTTGTACAGTAGCACTAAAGACTATGAATAATTGTATTATGGCTTTGAGACATAATTTCACACCTATTGGAATTTCGAGGAAAGTAATGAATCGAACTGTATACAATTTGATAACTCAATCAGTAAGCTACATTTTTTTAAACTAAATTCAAAAAAAAATTTCACTTTCGATTGATGACACGTACTACTTATATCTATCGACATCAATGGCACACCAATACATATTTTTGTAATTTAGTACGATGTCGCCGTAATGTTAAATTTTATGAATTACTTAGATGAAAAACACCAATATTCATTAAAAATAAAATATATTTGTAGTTAGCAACGTCGAATATAATGTTTTCATCTAATTTACTTCTAAGACAGATAATATATGAGGATCAGTACTCAATTCATATTTCCTTATCTTCATATTTTTAAAAATCCAAATGTACTTATCAGGATAAATATACAGTAAGGAGACTGAAGTAAGAGCTTTCGAAAGGATTTCGTTCTTGTTCTTTAAAAGTTAGGTTTGAAGCACAGGGCGACACTAGTTAAAAAAATAATGAACTATGAGGACCTAGGGAATACTTTTAAGATGTTCAGCATATTGAAAATTGTATATCAAAGAAACCATTAGTTTGTAAATTTTATGATCTGAATTTCGTATGTACAACGAAAACTAAAGAAACTCAAATATCTTTCGACCAACCAACTTTCAGTAAGGTAAGTTCTTTTTAATCATTTCATTTGCATTGATACTCACTTGTCATTAATATTTTTTGCTACATCACCCTTCACTACATTTTTTCGAAGGAAACACACACTAATTTCAAGGATTTATTTATTCGCCGTTTTCATTTCAACGGTCAAAATATGTCAGCCATTTGTTTTCAATCGTAATATTCATTTCGACTGAAGGTTGAGTGTAATCACTGGGGTACAGTAAAACAAAATAAATTTGACTTATTCTGTAAATCATATTATTTTTTATCCAAGTTTAAGATTATTAAAAGATCTAGATGAAGAAATAATTTATATGGGCTTGTATTGCCTTAAAATTATTACTTAAAGTGAAAAAAATACACATTAGAACGTAATACTTTCTAAATTAACAACTAATCAAGACAAAAAGACCTGCAGGATAAACGCATATGTATAAAATAAAGCAAAAACAAACATGGATGCAGAATAATGTGAGTTCATTATATTTCGTGGTTTCTCAACAGCTGCTTACAACCAAATATACATTGAAATTTTACTTTGAGGTAAGATATAGTTTGAAACAATGGAAATTGAATTGGAATGACAAAGGTTATCAATAATAACTATATATATTCAAGGACAGGTCGGAGGTCATTTGGTGTTAGAATCAAAAAACATGAGCGATGGGTGATGTACTAATTGAGTGAAGTTCAGAGACGGATAAAATAAATTATGTGATAATTTTAGAAATAATGAAGGGTTTACACAAGATTCTTGGAATTAAAAACTGGTAAGATGGGTTGCATAACAACTGAAGAGGATTTGAATAGTTTACATAATTTAAGAGAATCGAGTGAATGAAGATGTATGAGTGAAAGGGTAGTCTTAATGTACATAAAATAAGAATTCAGTAATGGAAGAGCAATATAGCAAAATAAACATTAACAAAATAAAACAAAATAAAATGAATTACAATGGTAGTGATAGGTTTATTACTGTCTCATCTTCGATACATAGATCGGGTTTGAGTATTGTTTAACTCAATTGCTTCAGTAAACCAAAGAGAAGCAGTATTTCTTTGTCTGATAATAATTCTGAAAGTTTGAGGAATGTCAATGATATGCCCGGTGTCAAGTAAATGTCGAGCTATTGTACTGTTAAAAGTCTTTGTCCCTCGCAATCTCAATTTCTTTGGAACATGCTCGGAAATGCGAACATGTAATCTTCTATCAGTTCTTCCAATGTATGTACTTTGGTACGCACAAAATAAATTAACAAGTGCAGTTGAAGCTACTGAGAAAAGAGGACCTGTCAATTCTAGTTTGTTCAAGCGAGTGGTTCATTTCCCATAACGTCAGCAGTTCTGCTGATGAACAAGCCACTTTCAACGTAGAATTTATCCTGTGGTTAATCATTCCGATGATTTCATCTCTCTTGAAGCGCAAGTATAAGAATCAGGTTTTCTTTTCAAACTGTCTTCATTTACCTACATTTATATGCGTGGGATAACTAGGAATTTTTTTCCTTCCCATAACTGTTGAAATAAACTAGCTACTGAACAACTATTATAGTCAATAAAACAAGTGGTAATTGACAAATTGACAACATATTGAAGTATTAAGAAATACGATATTTACGAATTCTAAACATTACTGAATATATAAAGAATAATTGTATATTTTCTTTTAGGTTTCTTTCCTTTTCGAAATTAGGATAAAAGTATTTTTCCTCTTTGTCTCTTTCACTCTTTTTGCCGACATACCCACTCATCCATTAATTAACTAAATAAATACATATTAACTTTATATAAACAATGAATTACTGTCTTATTTCATGCTAAAATCTTATATCATTGATAGATTAAACATTTTATATTACAAACTGCATAAGTTTACTGTAAATGGATCTTCTACTCGACTACTTCAATTTTTAGCGTTTAATTTGTCTTCTTTTTCTTTTTTAATAGTTGAGATCATGAATCACTTGAAGCAAGACCACCATGGAAAGCCTGGAAGTACTAGACAGCCGTTTCGTCATTTCAAGACCGATAGGTCCTGGGTTCGAATCTCGAGAGGCGGGATCATGGATGCGCACTGCTGAGGAGTTCCAAGATAGGAAGAAACGGCCATCCAGTGCCTCAAGGTTGAAACAGACACCATCAAAATTGTTACACAACCATTCTATTCATATTCAATAACTGTTGAGATATAACTAGTCTCATAGCACGTTATTTTAGAATGAGGTTCCAAATATCAATATTGATTTGAGCAATAGATATAATCTATGGATAAATACATAAGTGATGTACACTCAAAATCAGTACTGAATTATGACTACCTTCATGATAATAAACTAACAACTTTGAAATCTGAAATGAATCTTACTAGTCGGCACGATGTAAATCATGGTCAACAAACGCCGAATAGCACCAATTAAACAGAAATTATGTGTTCATTTAAAATGTAGATGAGCATAGCGGGATCTTTAAAGACAGGCAAAATTTTTCTAACAGAATCATTTTTAATAGCTTATATTAAAAGATCGAATAATTTATCAACTTCAGGAAAGGTTATTATGAAATACTAATCACCCTAGTATGAACAATTTACAAGGCAGTTGAGTCACAACAATATTAAATTGCATAATCTCAGTTTTAAAACTGATACAATATATACTTGGCTTGATGGTAAGCTATTTGGTAAGAATGGATCATTTCATTTATTTTTATGTAGTATACATGATGAGTGTGTACTACCAGGAGGTTGTGAAATAATATGTAAAGTGTTTCTATTGACAAATAGAATCTGATCATCATTCATATCTTCATATCAGTTTTGCATTTATGTCTCTTATGCTTACAGTGTACCTAGTTTCCAGTTCACATTTACTTGATTACAACAATAAGGACGAAGGCATAAAATATTTTATTGATTAGACTTTAGAACAGTCTAACTATGTTGTAGGCTGTGTAAACAAAAACGACTAGGTCATATAGGAGTTATATCTAAGAGCACAACATATTATTACTATATGACCTTTCAATTTTGATGAAATTTACTATGTTGTGCAATCATCAGTCAATTTTTGTTGATGCTAAACACTTTTCAATCAACTAATAATTTAACTTATGTGGTTATTGAGGTTTATTGGCGAGATGTACCAGAAAATCAAGAAAAGTTTAGTGGGATCCTGATTATTTTCGTGGGAACCTATTTAAACATGGCATTAGAAGAGTTTCGGAAGGAAGAAAGACATCATTCTATCTTAATTCATATACTTATATGGTTCAACTTACATTAAGAGTAAAGCAAGGTATCCTTATAAGTTACTTGAAATAATGCAACAAAGTACTAAGTCCTCAAAAAATGAATTATTCATTTCAGTTAGGTATATTATCGAGTGATAAAAGTATTGTTTCCAACCGCATATGAATGTGTTGTTTTTGAAATGTGGTCACGGATTACTTTTGAACAAAACGTTCTAACGTTGATTCAGTAGATGCCTATTTATAAAGTAACAAACAGAAAGTACACGGGTAAAATGTTTTCACCGATTTACATTAGCCACTCTCTACACAATTATTTAGAATTAGTTATTTTTAAGCTTCTAGTGTTAATTAGAACAAAATCACTGTTCAATAATTTTAAAAAGGTTATTTTCACTAATGTCTTCTTTAGAAATTACCCATATGGACTAGTTGATTATTAACATGGATCTACACGTTAAATAGATTTAAAAACTCAATATTACCAGTAAAACGACTGATGGGTGTTAATTTAACATAAAGACTTTATTTTACCATTTTGTGTTGACAATGTGGTAGTAGTAGTAATAGCAGTTGTTGTTGTTGTTGTATTAATATAATCTGTCAGTTATTACATATTTGTGGTGGATTCTAGTATGTTCACACTATATATAACAATAGATATAGTATAACCTCTGTGATATTCACTGATAAACATTTTCTTACAATGTAGTATGCAAATTTTGTGTTTTATTTTAATGTATGTATATGGTAATATTGTTTGTAAATCACTCTGACGTCAAATCTGTTTTAAATATCAAATTATGACATAATAAAGATTTGGTTATCTCTTCAGCTAAATAAGAATGGTTTCATTAATTTTCCGTTAAACGGAAGAATATCTTTCCTTTTGATAATTTCGATAAAACCATACAAGTAGCACATAAATTTGACTAATGAAAGGTACAGTGTTTTCACAAATTAACCATTAAAAACGATTTATTTCGTTAAATTCATTAATAGTTACGTTAATCTCATTGACATTCAGTTGTCTGAAATAATCTATATAAAACCAAATACCTGAATTCTTCGCTATTTGACAATGGTTATCGTGATATACCTTTATTTTTTTCATAAGACAAAAACCTTTATCACTTTATGTCAAAGTGTGAAAAATAACAGTTGAACCATTCTGTTTATGTCTGAACATTTGCACCATTAAGATATTCATAGTTATCGGTCAGTAAAGAGTACTCAAAGTCATGTTCTTTAGTATTGTGTTCTTATTAAAGTTTCCTGATTAAATTACAATTGGATCACTTATATGGAATGAAATAACACTCCAAACTCTTGGTATTATGAATGAATTACATTCTTCCTATTTTTTAACTTACTTTGACGAAATGTTGCATTATTCACACGAAAAGTATTGAGTGAACTTTGAGGTCTTGAATTAGGGAAATGATTTTCTATCATTCCTGTATCGGTACTACATCCATGACCACTATCCATACTTTCTATATCTTCTGTTATCTAAAAAACAAAATAAAGTTTATTATCAAAAAGGCATAATGTTTTATAATGAATATAGTTACCAAGAGCTATTCATTGTATATTCACATTTTACATCACTTAAAATGGAAATAATTAGAAACAAACAAACAAACAAACAACGCCAACTTGATATTACTTTTCTTATACAAAATTTGTTATAATAATAATTAGTCCTTCAATGCTAAATCATATGTTACCTATTTAGATATTCATAACTAATGCATGATTGACATTTTATTAAAGATTGAATAAGAATAAAATGGAATAAAACGTTAAAGTAGAATAATTAATTAAAACCTACTGTATTTTTGTATTATTATTATTATCATGATTGAGTGACAAGTAAGCCACAGTACTATTGGATTGATTTATTCATGCAAAATTAGATTTGAAAAATCAAATTATTTTACTACTTATCAGTCAGTAGATAACCTGTAAGCTTGTTTTTTTTTTTAAAAAGAACTTATTATATTTTGTATAGTTTATAACATTTTAAATATTGTGTGATTTCAGTGGCCCAGGATCTGGTTCCAGTTTAATCGTTTTTTGATTGCTATTGAGATATACATATCATCATTCCTTGTATATAATTATCGACTTAGATCGCATTAGTGAATAATGGAACTGAATAAGTCAAATATGAGAATGGATTTTGAATAGGTATATTTCATACACTCATTGATTTGAACAGGTAATCAAGGAATGAAGTGAAGAGAAGAGAGTGAAGCGAAATGACGCGTGATGGAAAAGGCATGTGAGCCAACTTCCTTTTTAACCAAGCGTTAATCAATATTTGTTGTCACATAAAATGAAGCTACAAACATATGATGAATGCGATAAGAGGGGCACACATATATGTGCTTATATAAAAACAGCCAAGATTAATAAGCGAATAATTAACAAGGTCAGGATGTGACTCAAGTAGAATGAATAGATTGACCTGTCCGAAAACTATAATAATGTATATGGGCTTAACATAATAACCGACACTGCATGATTAGTCTTATCACATAGATTGAACTGGTAATTTTTTCTCTCTTGATTGATTCTATTTAGTTTATTGCTATGATATTAGAGTAAAAATCTAAAGCCATGTAAAATATTCAAAGAACTGAAGGTATGGCTTAGTTGTCTTGAAAGAAATTAATATTTTTATTAAAAGATAAATGCTTCAATGATCCAGATCAACTTAAAGAGCTTGCATTTGTTGAGCTGAAAATTTGTTTTTAAAAAAATGGAGGATTGGAATACTTCGAAGGAAAGCAACTGAGTCTTGCCACAGTTCGAATTTAATTAATTATGGTGTATATATTCATTTTTATATTCAAAAAACAACTGAATGCTATGCAGAAGGGTCAGTAGGCTTTATGTATTCTGGTATTGATTTTTACTTCATTTCTTTACTCGTTTGGAAATATATTTTTTAAACTATAATCATTTGACTTTATTGGTGTAGTAACACAGTAATGAAACGTATGTTATTGATTAATTTACCATAATTACGTGTTAAAAGTTTAATGTTTTCTTTGGTTTACTTCCATGGTACTTTATGAACGTTATTTAGATATTCCTTAACAGAAACAATTTTATGCTGTTTAAAAGGCAAACAGAATCTGAACCACTTAGTCAGATAATTAGAGAATGATATTAAAAACCCTGTACTCAAGTTTTCCAATTAATGTGACCAAGAAGATTTATACGGTAATAGGAAACGGATTTAAATTGATAGTAGACGAATTGACAATAAATAAAACTGCTACCTATGTCAGAATTCAAAGCTTGACATTTGACTTTATTGAACCTACTTTAGAAAACAAACAATTTTCTTATAAACTGATTTTCATCGCAGTGATTGTTAAGTAAATTTAACAATTTATAACTAAAACGAATAGCATATTGAGTAAGTGTTATTCTGGACAAATGTATAACAGAGATTTCCATAATATAATTGAAGGTCTCACTGAGTAATTGTTACACTAAATAAATAGTCTCACTTTTGATAGTTTCCTATCACCTATTAGAAATATTACTTAGATTAAATGCGCTAAAATGATGCAACAAATAATATAAGAAGTTCAGGTATAACCTATTGGTTGGACAATTTACTAGGAAAACATGAATACTACTACTAAGTAGTCAGATTTTATTTCACGTAAAAGCTATTATTTCTAGTATGTAATAAAGATTATTTTGTTTGAGGATATTCTAATTATATCTGTTAGTTTTTCAATACTTGAAAACTTGAAATTTCTGTGCGAAAGTACATGCCAAATATAGACAGTTAATTAGTAATTTAGTCATTGCAAATGCAATACACATATAGATTGCAAAATGGTCGAAATAATCATTCTATCTTATCGGCTAGTTTCTGTAGCACAAAGTTCCTAATCAATAAAATTGTAAAAATTATATTTGAAGCAATGAATCAAGATTATTTTGAAATTTAATATATTACTACTGAAAATCCGAAAAATTTCATCTCATATGAGTTCGGTGTACTGTTTTCAGTAAAGAACTATGAGTAAAAAGCCTGAATGTTGAAATACGTTTTCAAAGATTACCTAATTAAAAAGATTGTTTTTTTCTTTGGATGGCATCAGAACGGGCTACAGTATAATAAATCTGGCCATTGAAGTGAGCTAAAATTTGAGGATATTTGAGTTTTTTATAAAAAATAGTGTTCAGTTCATATCAGACAATGTATAAAAGGTCTGTTCAGGTAGATAACTCATCATCATATCAATTATATTATTAAGCCAACGGAACTACCACCAAATGTCGTTGCAGAAATAGGAAGTAATTACGAAATTTGAAGTTCCATGGATGCTTGCACCAAGAAATTACTATTTAGAGCGTTATAACTTGTGGGTTTGTACCCCTATCAATGTATAACTTAGTGACACCGCCAATTAGAAAACAGTGACTTATCAACCGGTTCAATGACGCATCAAACCTGTACGAGCAGTCTAGAGTCCTTATTGGTCCTTCTCCCTACCTAACCTTGTCTGTTAAGTTCAGAACAACAATCTCAGCTTCCGCGATATGAATCATTTATGTCAAACATACTGAGTTTATATACCAACCAGACAGACCACATCATATTATAAAATAGGAAACAACATTTGTACAAGATTTAGCCAAATGTGGCTGTGAATATGGGAGATAGTAATTAATAGACTGGACATAACTCAAGAACGACAAATCGTATAATAATAATTCATAGGTCAAAATAAAGCTTATGATAAAAGGAAAACGAATATGAATAGTTTAGTTATTTAACAATTATATGATAAAAATATACATAAAGTATTAATCGAGAAATAGATATCTACAGTTACCATTCATTGTATATAACATCGAGTGATTATAAACGGAAGAATTCTGAATACTCAAGTGATAATGTACAAGTATATCGACAGCATGTTTACGACCTCAAACATAATCAAACAGTCATGAATTAATTCAGATACTCTAAACAATTAAATAAATTACATATAATATAATTTTGTAAAGTTAGTTCTCATAAAATTATTTTTCCATAAATACATATTTTGACATTATTGTGAAAAGAGTCTTTACTTTCACAGTAATCCCTATATTCTTTTTCTCAAGATGAACATTAAATACTAGCAAGATATTTATTTATCATTTATTGGATAATAAACATAAAAATAGTCACTTAGTAAAAACTTAAATTGAACTCTAACATTAATATATATCTATATACTTCTATTATTAGATATAAACCTTTCCTACATATAGTAAATATATCCAAAAGTCAGTTTGTCAATAAAAATAGTAGAATGTACATATAAACAATGATCCATATAATACAATTTTATTTCTATATGATATCCAAATAAAAATTATTAACGAAGTTAATTTTTCTTTTTTTTTAAAAAAAACTTTTTATTACTTTTCTTTATCTTTTTCTTTTTTTTGTAAAAAAAGAAAAAAAACTTCAAATCATGATAAATAAACCGATTATTGATTATTTTTATTTAGTTTGATTTATGAAAAATATTTTTGTTCAGTATTTTTCTCTTTTTTTATTTGTAAACAAAAATAATCATAATGTGAGAAAATTTAAAAAGAGATAAATTTCATTTTTTCACTTTTTTCCTTCTTTTTTTCCTTTTTTCTCGTTAAATTTAATTTTTCATTAGTGTGTTCGTGTGTTTAATAACTGATAATGAGAAATTTATCAGCTACTTAAAAAAAATTTTTATTTTTGAAACTAATTTTCTATTTTACAAATCAGTGAGTTTCTATAGTGGAAAAAAAAGAAATTTTTTGATTTATTTATACATTTATGTATATGTACGGTTTTTTCCTTTCAGTTTTTTCCCAAAGTTTTTCTCTGTTTAAGAAAAACAACAACAAACAATATTTCATAATTTTAAATGATTCATGCCAATCATTCATATGTGTTTATTTGAAGAAGAAGAAGAAGAAGAAGAAGAAGAAGAAGGGGAAGAAAGAAAAGTGGGGGAAAGAATTTTATCTTCATACTTGTTTATATTAAATATCTTTTTTTTCATTTTGATAGTTAACAAATGAGTGTGACAATTTCAATTTGTTTAACTATTTCTTTGTAGCATTTTTAACACTTGATATTGATGAATGTCAAGTTATATCATTAATTGATGTTAGTCAAAAAATATATTGAGCTATCTATTAATTTTTGTTTTGATTTTTGTAGCTAAAGAAACCGATATATTGTGTTGATGGTAACCTTATTTGTTACTATGCATTTTATTTTCTCATGTAAGGAATTAGGCATTAAAGTCGATTAATCTAATCAAATTACACGTAATCATTATTTTTTTTTACCAAACTCTGAATTAGTGAAAAATGAAATTCTATACATTGAGGTTTAGAAAATGATTAATGAAACTAAATGTTTCATATAGTTCATGAATAACTTCATTATTATTCAATAGCCAGAACCAGTGTTGTGATTGTTAGAACTGATTTTTAGCGGTATCTTCAATAATAGAGTTAATTTGCTAAGTGTAAATGAATCAAAATCAGCATATGCAGATTTGGTATTTCACTTCTATCTTTTTTTACTTTCTGGCATTGTATATTTGGTAAATATCACAGTTCACATAAAAAAACGAGGTTGATCATGATGCTTAATGGTATCGTTTACCAATAAACTGTTTTCACTGATCATAAATATTATGTTTGTCCAGTCCTTAGAACTGATCAAATAGTATGAAACAAGTTATAATGTAGCCATTAGTTTAATTGACATTGTGTTTTTATGTTAGGTTGTTAAATGAGATTGGTAGGAAGTCTTAGACATAGGATTCGTAATGGTTAACGCTCGTCATCAATATTTGTCTGTAATCGTGAAAGAAATAACTCTCTGTTGTACTCTAGTCACGAAGAAGAAAATGTTTCCCACACTCAGAGAATTGCTCTGACGCTGTCCAACGAAGCACGGAAAGCACTTATGGAATGGGAATCTCATGAATCCAGGATCATCAAAGCATCCTTCAAAATAAAGAAGGAAGGAATCACAATGAATGTGATCCAGTGTTGTGCACTCACCAATGATAGCGACGACGAAGATGAAGATCAATTTTATCAAAAGCTGCAGTCACTCGTACAAAAGCGCCCAAGCAACACCCTGACCATTCTGATGAGAGACCTAAACGTCAAAGTCGAAATGGACAACACCGAGTATCAAAGTTTGATGGGATGACATGGACTGACTAGGAGAAACGAACCGGAATGGTAAGAGATTTACAAATTTATGTGCATTCAACAAAATTGTCATAGGTGGGACAATATTCCCACACAAACGCATACACAAAGCTACATGGGTCTCACTAGACCACACTACAACGAACCGGATAGATCATATTTGCATGGGTAAAAAATTCACAAGGTCGATGAAAGACGTGTAAACCAAGAGAAAAGCTGATATGGCATCAGATCACCACCAACTAGTGGCTTCCAAGATGAATCTGAAGATAAAGTAACACTGGACAACTGGTGAAACGGCGTTACAAAGGTTCAATAAAGTCTTCGTCCGAGATACTGACAAACTCAACAAATTCAAGACAGCTCTCAACAACAGGTTCCAAGCCTTACAGGATCCACTAGAAAAAGAACAAACTACTATGGATGAAAACTGAAAAAGGATTAAAGAAGCACTCATTTTAACATGCCAGGAGGCGCTGAGTTGCAAGAACTATCATCATAAAAAATGGATCTCTATAGAATCCCTAAACAAGATTCAAGAAAGGAATAACAAGAAGACAGCAACTAACAACAGCCGAACAAGAACAGATAACGTTAAGGGACGAGCTGAATACATAGAAGCAAACAAGCAGTTGAAGAGGAACATTAGAACCGAAAGGCAGAAATACGTGTAGGACCTAGCAAGGACAGCGGAAAGAGCTGCTAGGGAAGAAAATATCAGTCAACTATATAACATAGAGAAGAAACTGACAGTGAAATATTGCAAACCAGAGACCAGTCAAGGATAGAGAAAGCAGGACAATCACTGAGGTTCAAGGACAGAGGAACAGATGGGTAGAACGCTATGAGGAACTCTTGAATAGGTCAGCTTCATTGAATCCACCGGACATCGAAGCAGCACACACAGACCTTTCTATAGATGTCACTCCACCAACGACGGAAGAAATCAGGATGGCCATCAGACAAATCAAGTGTGAGAAAGCAGCAGAACCTGAAAATATAAAAGCTGAAGCTCTGAAGTCAGACGTAGAAGCAAGTGCAAAAGTGCTACCCGTTCCATATAAGGAGATTCGGGAGGAGGAACATGTGCTGACAGAGTGGAAAGAAGGACACCTCATCAAGATACCAAAGAAAGGAGATCTGTGCAAATGCGAGAACTACAGAGGCACCACACTACTGTTTGTACAAGGAAATATTTTCAACAGCCTGTTGCCGAACTGGATGAGAGATTCGACAGACACTCAGCTTTGAGATCAACAGGTCAAATTCCGTAAGGATCGATCATGCACAAAACAAACCGCGACACTACGGAAAATTGTTAAACAATCGATTGAACGGAACTCGTCACTACACGTCAATTCCCTTGGTTATGAGAAATTGCTTGACAATATTGATAAGAGAGTCTTGTGAAACGTTATTTTACACTATAGTGTATCTGAGAAGATCATCAACATCATCCGGAATTCATACAAAATCGTGAATGGAGGACAGCTGACAGATGCATTCCAAGTGAGGACCCGTGTCAGACAAGGTTTCTTACTATCGTCTCTTTTCTTTTCTCTACTGGTTGACTGGATTATGAAAACCTCAACATACGAGGGGAAACATGGAATACAATGGACAGCTTGAAAACACCTAGACGATTTGGACTTCATAGATAGCCTAGCGATTCTATCCCACACACACCAGCAAATGCAGGTGAAGACAGCCAGCGTGGCAGCAATCTCTGCATCATTAAGGCTCAACATATACAGAGAAGAAAGCAAAATCTTCGAATACAACACGAGAACATCAACTTAGTCACACTTGATGGAGAAACTCTAGAAGAGGTGGAAGTTTTCACGTACCTGGACATCATTACCATTGAACAAGGAGGATCTGATGCAGACGTAAAAGCAAAACTTGCCAAAGCAAGGGCAGCATCCTTAGAGTTGGAGAAAATATGGAACTTAAAATAACTGTCAGCCAATATCAAAGTCAGAACCTTCAATACGAACGTCAAGACGGTTCTACTGTATGAAGCTGAAACTTAGAGAACTACTACAACCAGCACCAAAAAGGTATAAATATTTATAAACAATTGTGTACGCAAGATACTTAATGTCCGTTGACTGGATACTATTTGTAACAGCCTACTGTGGAAGAGAGTAAACCAGCCTCCGGTTGAAGAGGAAATTAGGAAAAGACGTTGGAAGTGGTTAGGACATTCATTACGGAAATCACCAAACTGTATCAGGAGACAAGCTCTAACGAAAAAATGGAAGACCAAAGAACACACTACGTGGGGGATTGGAAGCAGATATGAAAAGATGAATAGCAACTGGAAAAGAGTGCTCAAGACATAGTTGTATGCAGAATGCTGGTGGGCGGCCTATGCCCCTCCACGACGGGTAATAGGTGTAAGTAAGTAGGTATTATACTAAAATTGTTGCCATTTTTTGGCATTTTCACATGTGAACATCGGATTGATATGCTATTTTATTTACTTCACTTGCAAAATGTAATTTACCCACTCTGGATCTATGAAAATAAACTGACAGGAATAAATGTTACTAGCGAATTCTGATTACGGGTATCATTTCACTGAAAACTCTTCAGTAGCCTTCGGACGCCCTTCATTCTAGTATAGATGCATACTGGATAATTATATCTCAATAAATGGATATTTCGATAAAATACTAAACCTGGCTTACTAAAACTTATAAATTCAATAAATTAAACCAGGATGCTTAAAAAATCCAGGTAATCTATGTTGCTCATTCGTCATTAGAAATAGTTACTCTTAATGCGTTGATCCTATGTCTTAACTTCTTATTTATGCATAATACATGTTTCATCTCAATAAATAACATCTGTTTGATTCCTTTATTTTATGGCTTTTATTGCATAAGTTTATGGTCTACTTACATCACTGCGCTGAATCCCAATTACTTGTCTTTCAAATTTCCCCAGTAAATCCATTCATGGGTAAGTTCACTTTTTTGTTATTCCAAGAAAAGCAATTAACTTGACACTAAATATTTTTTTAAATTTTATTTTCCTTGACCACTGCCAACAACAATTTACTAGTAAAGATCTTTCAGTTGCAAAATTAAAAATATTAATGTAATAGAAGTATTCTAACAAATAGATAAAACTAACCATCCTACTCTTTTAACTTACTTCATTGGGTGAAGTTAAATTTCTTATAGAACCAGGATCTCTATACGATGGTGAATTAATACGTAGATCTGAAATTTGTGAAGAACCTGCTTTAAAAGTTGAACAAGTCTGATTTTGTTGCCTGAGTGTTGGACATGCTCCCATCAGTAATTTCAATTCATGATCAGGAGAATCTTCAGTAAAAATTAAATAAAAACTTGCTTATTATTGCATAAAAAAGTGTCTAATATGTATAATCATAGTTTCCGTTACATAATAAAAATTTAGTAGTGAAAATCTAGAAATTAAAGGGATTGTAAATTGATTTCATTATATTGTTAGATTTTCTCAAAGCCCAGAATGCAACAGATTGTTTTCATATAAATAAACTGTTATTTTTAAACCAATATAAAATAGGTCTCTTATATTTGTAATTAACAAAATACTGTATTAATTACTGTCGAATTCTTGGTCAAATATATATACACACTAAAACAACTGATGGTTAAAGCATTGTCATTAATTTACGAACCTACGAACTGTCATAAGAACTATTTAAAACCACCAGTCCTTTTCTGGAGGCAAAGACAGACTTTTTTTCGTGTAGTGCACCCTGAATAGTGCGTGATCTTTTTCTCCATAAACTAACTCAAGTGGAACGGCGGAGACTGAACTGATTAACCTTTCTTCAATATCTATCGAAATTTATCAAAGGGACTAATTGTTTTAATATGAATAGATTAAATAAAATAATGACTTTTTCACACCTTTTCGATGGGGTTTATAAACTGTATTGACAGAATTTTCCTTCACATAAGAAAGAAATATCTGATTGATGACAGAAGTTATATATCCATATAGTTTACTTGTAGTTACTAATATATATATGCGATAATTGTGTTAAAATATAAATGATACAGTGACAAAGCATAATCAGCAATAACGACTGCTATTACATAACGTTTGTTTGTATATACAGTTACTTGATTACGTTAATAATCTTATAATTAAGTGTAATAATGTATGCTTAAAGACTGATTGATAGTCTCTTCTGATATATATATATATATATATATATATATATATCTTAGAAAAGTTTGAAAAATATAGATAATCAATATCAGTATATAGTATGAACACGACGTTTTCTCTACTTTATGCATCTTCTATATAAATATTAGTCTCACTCTCTGATGGAATGAAGGATAGGGTATATGATTCGTATTATATAATCTTATTCTTTCCTCTTGCTCATACGAAGAAGTATGAATACATAAATAAATGAGACATTTATGTATGTATCATAATGCCTTTTCGCCTTTTGTCGATTAACTTCCTTTTGCATAATACAAATCACATCGTATTTATAAGTTTGAAAAGTAAATTGTTACAAATATGCCTATAAGTTATGAGACTTAATTAATTAATCTGTAAAATCTGACAAACATATGTTCATTTATAGTTGTTATTCAAGCAAATATCATCTTAAAACTGCTTAATAGGATTGGTGATGTTAAAATAATCTTAGTGATTAATGTCATGCCAGAGAAGTTATAGAAAAATTCAATATGTTTATAGGTAAAGGTACTAGGTGTATGCAGCAGTTCAAGTAAGTGAGGTTGAAACTAAAATCAGGGGAAAATCAGGTGAGAAAGACCAATTTATTGTTGAATGCCCAATTAAACAATGGTTTAGTAAAAGTTGAAAATTCTACATCAAATACGTCATTTGCACATCTTCCTTAAGATTGTCTCTTAAATACGTCGTTGTTCCTTCATTCCTGTTGCTTTCTTGATTGCTTTCAGTTTTCTTCTCTCTTCTCTTCTTTTCAATCTCCTTAATCTTCTACTTCTAGACATTTTACTTCCGACTGGTATTACATACCACTTATATCTGCAAACATAAGTAGTGTTCACTGCGTTACAACTGCTTCAACTGATATTATTAAAACTAATGGTATTAATATTATTATGATTAGTAGTATAATAAATGTAAGTTGTCTTGAGTAGTAGTAAACTAAAAGAGTTAAAAAATCTAAGCAGCATGTTAAATTGATCAGTCTAAGCTTTCAGAGGCAAAGTTAACCTTCATTCATCTACTAACCAAAGCATCTTCTTACAGATCTTGATTCATATTGTTTACTTATTTACTTTGAAATTTGTGTAAACTTCAAGATTTCTTTACTTTTAAAAATAAATTTTAATGGTGAATCTGGACAAAAACTAGTCGTTTCATTAATAAGATTAAAAATCTACTATTGTTGTTATCATTACCATCAAAATTATCGTGTTAAGTTGTTCTTTACACATACCATCCACTAGTTAGCTAAATCTAAACAATCAATCAACTAACCAGCTATCTTTATATACATAAATAAACAACATCTTTTTAATATCAACCTTTAGGATAGTTACGAACTTACTGAAATAATAAAAAGTGATAAATAATAATAATTTTACCGATTGAAAACTAACCTGACAGTAAAAAATGAAAGTATACCAATTCAATCACATAGACTAAAGAGTATTCTCACTACCTTTTTTTGTTTTGTTTTGAAAGGGACATTGATGAAATTGGCGTCACTATTCCTTTAACTTTTAAATTATTTAATAGCTATCATAAAACACGGATTATTACGATACTATTACAAATGAATGGTCTATTATTTAATGGTTTGTTTTAAAAATGTATATTATTTCCATTTATGTTAATGAGTTTTAGTAATTATTTTAGTAAGAACCAAATTAATGTAAAATAGACTTATTCTTATGATTATTGGATATATAGTTGATAAGATATGAGTGATGATAGACTAGAAAGAAAAAAAACATTAATATCAGAAAAGAGTTCTGTTTTAGATTGTCAGTGTAACGATTGAACATTATGAAAATCATAATTATTTCAACGAATGATATCAAAAATTTCATTTGAAGAAGTACCTTCAAGAAGTATATGAATATTTTACGGTAGTTAAATATCAATAAAATTCCCTAATAAAACTGGTGATAATAACTTACTTTTAGTCGATCCAGTATCAAGAAAGCGTTCTTCAACAGGTTTTAAACGACAGATTGTTCCCGTCTGACTGGCTCGTTTCAAAGTAGATAAGTCATTTAATTTTGTAGGTGAAGGATGAAATGGATGTGTTGAGTTGAACAGTTTATGGGATCGTAATGTATCAGGTTTTTTCGGATCCACTGCAGCCATCATCCACTGATTTTTCTCTGCATTTGATAAAAAGCTTCTTATCATTTTATCCGAATCTGTAGATTGAGGTGGATGATGAAGATGATTTGGTGAAGGAAAAGTATTTAAACCGCCTTCACCCAATAAATGTTCAGCTCCTGGTGAAAGCAAACCATCAACTTCAAGCATTCCAGAATCTCTAAAGACTTCTTCAAGATGATGTGTATGATTGAGGCTCTGTCTATAAAATCTTGGATTATTTTGTTCACATTGTGTTGTATTTCGTTGAGTACATGCACCACAGCGTAGAAATAAAATAGCTAATATGAGTATTAACGATATTATCAGTGTTACAGCGACCATAATTACAATTACAATTAGATCATTTTCTAAATAGGTTCCATGTCCAACAACTGTGTTCTTCTGTCTATCATGTTCATTAACTCCAACATTGTCACCGTCATTTTCACTCAATAAATAGGCGCTTGCTTGTGATAAATAACGAAAAATATCAATTTGTAAAACCCTATGATTAACTTTAGCTGGATGACCACGATCACTTGCTTCTAATACTAATTTAATCGATCCAACATCATCTATGTTCATTGATCGACCAACATAAATTGCACCACTTATGGAATCCAGTTCAAACAAGTTACCAACATTATGTGATGGGACATATCTCATGTCTGTTTTTGGGACAATTTGTACATTACTATTAATAGTATTATCTAGACGTGTTGATGGGCTGGTCATTATTGTCCTATCTACTATATTAGGCATATTGGACATAAAACTAGTTTGAACAAGTCGATAAATAACTTCACCATTCTCATTTTCATCTAGATCCTCAGCAATTAATTGAGCTACACGATAACCGACTGGTTCATTAATGGTTAAATTTATAATCTGATGATTATGCGCTGGAAATATCCATTGGGGTGAATTATCATTAACATCGATCAAATGTATATGAACCTGTGTCGAAGATGATAATGTAGGGAGTCCAGAATCCATAGCAACTAAGTAGAAATTATAAGCTGGTATTTTTTCTCTATCCAAATTACCACGTGCCACATAAATATAACCCTTAGTTGATACACGAAATTCATGAATTACTTGACCTTCTATTTGTGGTTTAATGACGTAATGTATCTGTGGGAAAGGTGAAGAAGAAATAAAAATTATTCCATATATTTATTAAGTATTTGAATGTAAACGAAGTTAAATGATACTAAATAGTTTTTTAAGGATTGTTTTAACAGAAAGTGGATATTAGCTTAAGAAGTATTAAAAATTAAGACTTTTGTCTCTACCATACTATAACCCATCAAGATTCTAGGTTCAATATAGAGGTAACTAAAAGCTGTACATTTTAATGTTATTACAGGTTTGTACAGAAATCTATTTTTATACATATCAAATTTCTTCAGTGTACTAATTCTATGCCTAAAATCAAGAGGTCTAATCAAATACTACAAACAACCTGGTTAGTGTAAAGAATAAACGAACTTCTATTTTCTCAATACTAAATATCGTCAAGACCGTTATACCTGCCTAATAATTACTAATTCATTTTCTTACAAAAGACTAGTCCATAATGTACGATAGCTTAAGGTATATTCGAAAATGAGATTATTTATTAAATAAAATTCAAAGAGAAAAAATTATTAAGTAACTATATGTTTCCAGTGCTATCAGTTTTACTTAAGCTGCATTCATGCTATGATGAGGACAAGATAGATTAAACTGAAAATTTCAAGTCACTATAGTTGTTTAAAACATGTTAAAAATTCACTTTGTAACCAATGCATTTTATAAAAAATGATAGGGGGGGTTATATTGTGTCGAACTCTATTAATTGTCAGATATAAACAGTTTTGTTGTGTTTCTTAATCAAAACTCATATTATAGCTTAATTTGAATCATTGTCCAAGTATTTAAGTATGTACCAAAGAATGGATAAAGTAAAAACTGAATTAAACAATCTGTGTTTTAGCTAAATGTTTCTATATTTTGATAGAAATATCATTTTGAATGCAGTATTAGGAAAAAGAATTAAACATTTAAATAATATTACATAAAGATGTCTACTGGATTATTCATTTTAAACGCATGTCATACAGTAAGTAACACTGATTCATAATTAAAAGTTATAAAACATGAAGTTCAGCGAATGGATCTCTTTTCAACGAATTTATTACCAAGCTGCACAATCGTATATATATAAATAAATAAATTTCTTCGTATTACGTAATCTAGTAATATAATCTTTCTATTGCGTCATCTTGGTTATTCGTGTTTACATTTCTTCACGGAATTAGTACTTTAACAAAAATTTTCATATATACATATATATATATACGATTGTATAGTTTGATAATAAATTCGTTGAAAAGTGATCCCTCCGTCGAGCTTCGTGTTTCTAAAAATGATATCAATTACTATTTTGGTATAATCGAACAATTTTTGTCATTAACTAATAAAAATTAACTTTTCGTGTATTTCTACTTGTAATTGTTTAATTGTTTCATTTTCTAAGAATGTTTTCTGTTCTCTTTTTTCTTAGACATTCTGTAAAAGGCTTCAATTAAAACATCATTACTGGTTTAAGCATTGATAGTATAAAATTCATAGTGAAACTATTGTGAAAACATAAAGTATCGTCTCTCCCTTTTATAGATTTTATTATTCATAATTGAAAAATAATTCAATCGAAAAAAAATCTATAAAACTAGACTTCGTTATTCTTTTTTGTGTGGTAAATCAATCATTAATGTATGTATCTAACTAGATAAACAAATGAACAAAATATCAGTTTTTCAATGGTTTTTTATAGGATAAAACTGTCTAATTAAATAGTTGATTACACAGATAAAATCATTCGAATCAAGAATGTGAAAAATAAATCCTTCTTTATCTTTTTTTTGGAACTTGTTTTGTATGTGATAATGAAGAGATGAATTTCTTCAAATTATATATTTTCAGGAGGGGTTTTGTGGAGATTTTAGAAATTTCACTGATTGACTTCAAGAGATACTCCTGGAGTTCTAGTGAGGAGCCGTTACCAGTGGAGTTCAACCAGGTCTGTTGTGAGATATCAACTCACTGAAGACAATGGTGTACGGTGGTGCAACTTCGTGGATTGGTTGAAGTTAGACATTAACACCGTTGGATGCCGGCCATCTCAGTGGTCTAGTTGGTTGAGCGTCTGGCGCGCGAGAATGACAGGTCCTGGATTCGAATCTCGCGGGGAGGGTGCGGGATCGTGGGTGCGCACTGCTGAGGAGTCCTGTACTGGGGCGAATCGGCCGTCCAGTGCTCCCAGGTTTTCCATTGTGGTCTAGCTTCAATTGACTCATGATTTCAATCAGTGAAATTACATATTTCTTAGTAAAATAAAGAAAAATATGTGCTGAAAGTTTATTTAATAGTTAAGATCATGAGTCAATTGAAGTTAGATTACAATAAAAAGCCTAGAAGCATTAGACAGCTATTTCGTTCTATTGTGAGATTCTTCAACAGTGTGCATCCACGATCGTCCATTGTTTCCAATTGAATTTCAATTGACTTTTAACTATTAAATTACTATAACTGTAGTAAACAATGACATGAGTGGGGACAACCGAATATATTTAGACACGAAATTACAGAATATCTCACTAAAATCTGAGAACCATACAGTAAATACTTAATTTACAAAATATCAATCCATTATCTTACACTTGACTTTTTCTTTTGCAAATATCAGTCCATCGTCTCAGATTTTATTGTTCTCGCATTTTCATATCAATCGCTTTTCGTTCTAGTTCTTCCCTTCTTGATCTCAATGTTCTCCTACTAGACATTATATTCCTGACACTCATTATATACTACTTATGTCCATATAAGTAACTTACACCACATTATATTCACAAAATCCCTTTTTCATATACTGAAAGTTTACAAGTTTTCATTTTGCGATAAAACTAATAATGTAAATTAGAAATTTTCCATAACAACTAAAAATTTCTTTTTCAATTGATGTGAGTGTGTATCTAAATAATTCATTTATGATATACAAACGAAAAGTTTTTTAGAAGCGATTCCAATCAATAGTTATTGAACGATTATTGAAAATAAGGTAACATATTGGATATCACTTTTTAATTTTTAATTTTATTTTAAAAGAAAAATGAACATTCTTGACTGCTCTAGTGTATTTACTAGTGAGTATAGTCTGAGTGTTATCAATGAGAACATTCGGATGTTTAAAAAAATAGAGATAAATGATGCAATAAAAATGAATGAATTAAGAGTAATTTAAACAAACTACAAAAAAACATTTATTCAGTTCTTTAAACTATACAAGTTGTAATTTTTAGTGCGTGATAAGTTCATTCTGCTTTTCAAGCTATAAGAAAAGTGTATCATTTAAATATTCGTAGGCCTATTCTTTATTAATATGTGCCCCCAAAATGCCCTGGTACGGCCGACGGTGGGGAGAGTCCACTCTCCCTCTCCAAATGCTCTCACATGGCCACGCGTATGTAGCCTCTGCCAGGGAAGTCCTACTCACTGCCTTCTCGCAAAGGGGGTGTTGTTTACGAAATTGAGAGGACGAAAAGCGAATGTCCGGCACTTTAACCGGGTTGGTGGACATGGAGAGTCTACATAGGGGAGTTGGAAAACCCTGAATACAAACCAATGGTGCACATGGACTCCAGTATCCTGAAGGAACAAATGGTGTATGAACTAATCGTCGGTCAACGGCTACCATGTGACTGCATCTCCAACGTTGCTCCACTGCCTTGTGGACCAGACCTTCAGGCTGAAGACTCCGTGTGTGGCCCCCTAAGAAAGCCACGTGCTTCGGTTTGGGCACCTGTGCAGTATCACAGCCCTCACACATATCGAATGAGATTTGTGTGGCGCATATGTATTTGGTGCCTCCCTGTACCGATATCTATGTGTTAAAATAAATAAATAAATATGGTCTGTAATTTATGTAAATTTATTTACTAATTGATAACGTTAGTGTAAGTTTTTTTAATATTTTAAATACCATCGTTTAACTATTCTTAATGACTAAATAAAAAACGTAAAATTAGATTGACAAATTGATTAGATACTCGAATTGATTGTCTGTGAGTAAAGATTTAAAAAAAAAGAGTTTAAGTGTCAGTAAGGAATCAAAAATGTGGTAATTGTTAGAAATATAAAAGAGGGTACATTTGAAGTAAATTTTATGGTCAAGATAAAGGAAATGTTTGTACATAATTTCTTCTGATTACAGAGGTCAGGTTTATTTAAACGAATTTCTATAGGTTCGGCTATGTGTAAGAGGTGACTTCTGGAAGCATTAGATAAACTGAATGTTATTTTATATTGTAATTTTGAATGGTACATTTGCATTGACTTGACGGGTCGAATCGACTGAAATTACAAGGGTAGAGCTTTTTACTACTCTTCTTTGTACTTAGTTCAGCCATGAAGTCTAATATTCTGAAGTACGGTGGTGGACTTGTCTCATAGTGCTCTCAGTGTAACTGGATTTACTTGAGAAGCGAAACTGATAAATACACATTAAGGTAGAGGAATATATGAGTTTATTGTTGTTTCAGAAGATAAATATTGGTTGGTTAAATGAAAAACAAATTAATCTAGCTCTACTCAGAGATCTACTTACACAACAAGTGACAGACTGATTGAACGTCATCTTTGAATTGCAATATAATGACCATACGTTTTTTTGGTGTTATTGGCAACCTTGTTTTGGTTTCCGCTCTAGTCATATGTTCTGTTTCCAACGCTTTTTCGTTTAGTAGCTTACAGATGATCCTAAGCTCCTCTGAGACAGATTTTTTGAGGGGATAACATTAACTCTGTGAGCCAGACAATCACCTAGTTTTTTATACTATGAAACGAGTTCGGAATGCAAAATTGTACAATAATAATACTGAGACGAGATGTGGAGTAAAATGAAATAAAGTTTCTCCTCGCCCAAGTCGTATTTTTTATGAATAATTATTTTTTAAAAAATAGGTCTAGATAGCTAAAATTGTACTGGATTATTCAGTATAAGCCGCGTACATAAAAGTTTTAACTTAGTTTGTCAGTGAGATTCATAGAAAACAGAGGCTCATCTTAATTGTGTCTTGGCTAATCACAAAGTT